CGGGTCGGTAGCTGCGCTCTGCCCGCCCGCATCTGTGTTGGGGAACACAGACCTCAGCCAGGAAGCTGAGTGCGGGGCGAAGAGGCAAACCCCAGTGCCCCCCCAGGCATCGCGAGTGACCCGGGGCCGGGACCCCTGGAAACTCGGTTCTTGATGGCTCCTGGGAAAATCCGTGGCCCGCAGACCTTTTCCTGCGCCGCCTCCTGAGCCGTCTCCTTTGACACTGGTGAAGCTGCAGGTCCGCCCGTGGCGCCCGGCTTAAAACTGCGCGGTGCCAGCGCGCAAGGCGGAGGCTGGGCCTCGAGCACCCTCCCTGTGACCCGACCCGGAGCCTGGTTTTGTGTCTGTGAAAGGAGCCAGTACAAAAGCCCATTGGAAGACAAAAGGGGGGTTTGCGGGCCCCAGAACTGCCTTTGCCACGAGATTGTACTCGGTTTGGTGGAGAAGGGAGCCCAGCAATGATTAGTGATTGCATTTCTGGATGGAAAGCTAATGAATAAATGTCTCTGGAGTTGGACGCTGAAAGGTGACTTTCGTAGATACTAGAACATTCCAAGACCAGCCTTTTAAACAGAGTGCAGTGTTCACTTTTTTCAAAAGGCCTGAGGTTGGTTTTGCTCTCAGGACAGGGGTCCAGTGGCCCTCTGCGGAGCCTGCTTTTTCCTCAGGGAGCGCTGGGCTCCTGCTCCTTGTACAACTCTCCTAGAAGTGAGAGCCTGGAGGAGCATGCCGGGCAGGCCTGGGCTTTTCCCCAGGGCTGGCTGTTCGTGGGCTCCAGCAGCCTGACAAAATGACAAGGATGGGCATGGATTGCCCACTTCCAAGCGCCAGGGCTTGATGCCAAGAGATTTGAGAAGCTGATTTAATCTTCTTGCCTCTCTTGGGGAGTCCTAGCAAATGAGGGAACTGCGGCCCAGTTTCCAGTGCTGGCAATGCGCTCAGGTCTGGGGGGCCCCAAAGCCAGGCCTGCCTCAGAGTGGCCACCTGATAGAGCCAGGGTTACATGAGAAGCATCCATGGTATAGCCCTTTCTGGTAGGTAGTTTCTGAAGTAGTCTCCTGCTCATCTCTGCTTCCTGGAAAGTCCGTCCCTAATGCTCCAGATACAGTGATTTATCACATGAGATGCTTCACAAGTATTGCTGGATAAAATGGGTTTCAAACGACCGTCTATACATTTGACGGACAACGGCCTTGAGAAATCGGGCTGCTGTCTATGTACAATTTGTAGGAGTACAAGTGTACAAGCTGTGGACCTTGGGGCCTGATCACAGGTGCTGGTGACCTTCTGAATACTTGCTGTGGACAACAAATTTTCTTGACCCTGAAGTCCAGAGAACTGAATCAGTGGCCTCGGAGACCAAGGAGGAGTTACTGGTCTGGTTATACCCTGGATTTCAGGGAGGGGGTGTCTGAAGACTTCCTGTGGCTGTTTGAGAGGAACACATTGGAACTTAACTTTGCTCAGAACTTGACATTGAACAGTTTTTTCTTAAAAAAAAAAATCTCTCTTCATCCTAAGATCAGACTGCGTGCACATTTACAACACATTCGCCTGGTTTGCTGTGCTTCTTGTCCTGTTGCTGCTGCCCCCAACGACAGAGCAAGCCAGCTGTCTCTATTTAGATATTTTCCAACATTCTTGAGGATAGAAACATAAAATATTGTCAAGGCTTTGAAAGAAGTGCCAAAATTTAAAATCTCATGTGCAACTTTTGAAATGTCCTTTCCATCCCCTCCACTGGAAGAATAAAGGTTTCCTGCGATCCCAAGGGGATCAGGGAAATGCCCTGAAATACAAGGCAAGGCACGCAATGATCTACCTCAGGCTTGGGAAAGAAGGGAGCGAAACCCAACTAGCAGAGCCGGGGTAGGGGGGCACTGTTTCTATCAGAGCCTTTCTTGACTTCCTCATTTAGCTTCCACCAGTTAGCATGGCCCTTTGGTCACTCCCCTCCGCGTGTCAGTTCCCGACCCATTCTAGTAGGGGCTGTCTTTTATGCCGCTGCAGGACTATAGAAATATCGCCCCGAGAGATGCCAGGGGTTTCAAAGCATGCACCACCTAGACGCCTTGGTTGAGTTTCTTCTCTTTCTTCCTCAACAGCAAAAGCACTATTTGAGGAATGTTCTGGACCTAGTTCAAATCTTAATCCATTTGTTGAGTGAGGGGTTTGGTACACAGGTGCCCTCAATGGAGACCCTTTCTAGACACAATCACACAAGAGCAGTGGGCTCTTTTTCATTTAGTGAGAGATCATGGATTCTTCTTTGTTTCCACTTTCACCAGGTTGAGCTTTGCCAACCTGCCACAAATCAGCTGATTTGCTGAGTGATTGGTAGTCTGGGGTTTCCAGATGGCCCGCCAGTGTCCTCAAGGATGCTGATGGAAATGCACATTCCCAGACTTGATCCCGGTTTACTGGGATGGAATATCAGCTTGAGGCTTGAAATCTGCATTGCAAACAGCCTCCCCAAACATTCTAGAAGCAGCCTGGAACTCACTGATCAAGCACTATTCAAGTGTTAGATACTCTTCTTGTGCTCTGGGTACAGTGATGCCCTTGGAAGAACAAGCCCTCAGTCAAGACTGGGATTCCACTTCTCTAAACTTTCTGGGGCTCATGTCTACCAGCAGTGAGGCTCGTTTTAGACTTGCTCATGCTAAGCTGATAATAAAGGCTTCCATTCAAAAGTAGATGGAGTAAAGTGGATTTTAAAAGTCATGGAATAACCACATGTGGCATTGCTGAGAATTTCTCTATTCTCTTTTAACTCCTGGGCTCCGGTCTACCCTCCTAACAGGCTGTGGTCAGAGCAGGAATCCTAGTCTACCGGGAAAATGTTCAGCTATCATGTGTAAATTCAACTTTTGTCAACTGATGGTTGAGGACAATCCTATATTTGACGCTATTAAGGATGTTGATTTTGCTTCTGGATGGGCCTTTGATTTCAGTTCCTTCTTCAACCGTGTTCCTGGCAAAGACCAGGCTGTCCTGCCTTCTCGCCACCCTCTCCTCTTGCCTCTGAGGACCTCACATCCTCAGTCACTCCTCTCCTGAGTTGCATGTAATTATTTTCACCTAACAGCTTAAAAACCACCCCTCACAGACACAAAATGATGTAAAAATAAACTATTATATTATTAAAAAAAAACAACACCCCTCACAATACACCTCCCTTGAGATACACTCTTGTCTTGAGAGCGTTGTCAATACATGACTAACCCCAAACCACATGTCCAGAACCCCCAGCTCTCCCCAAGTGGACGAGGGCTCCGTTGGCATCAAACCTGATGGATGCTTTCAGCTTCTTCCTTACTGGACTTTGCAGGGGCACAGACACAGCTGTGGCTTCCTCCTCAGGAAGAAAGACGCTCCCCTCCCCTTCCCCTCTGTGGTCCCACACTCTCCTGGCTTCTTCAGCCTCTGG